TGAGTGATTTTTTATCGTACCCGGTAACCATAGATTGTATCCAGGAAATTGTTACGTCGTACACCACGACCGTATATTATAGCCGGGATGCTGTTATGTCGTACCCGATAGCATCATGTCGAGCTTTCTTTCAAGTCGTACAAGGTGAAATTATGCAATATGGTGAGCAGCTTTCCAATTTGTGCAGTTAGTTACTTCATAAATGATTATTATATTGAACCGTATATGTATATTGAGCTTGCTATCATAGGGTGCTTTTAATATATCATTTGTTGCTTTTAATATACGGTATCATTGGAGTACGATACAATACCATTCTGGTTACGATATAAGGTTACCGAGTACGATAATACATTGTTCCGGTTACAATACAACATCACCGAGTACGACATAACAGCATACAGGGTACGATAAGACAGTAGTATACAGGCAAATTCGATATAATGCACCTTATGGTACGATCCAATAACATTCTTGTCCAGTATTCCCCTCCATACAGACTCACGGTTTTGATTTAAGTATGGTTGGCCATTCTGAGATTCTGTTGTCAAAGTGTGCGCAGTTTCGAGAGCAAGGTGAATTCACTGATGTTTATTTAAAAGTGGGTGGAGAAGTTTTCTCAGCTCATCGCATTGTGCTCGCTGCCAGTAGCGATTATTTCCACGCCATGTTTGCTCATGGAATGAAAGAGTCGAACCAGGAAGTGATCGAACTCAAAGATGAAAGCATTTCAGCAGCTGCCTTGAAGATCGTGTTGGATTCCATCTACAGCGGCGATCTTCAAGTCAATGATGAAAACGTACTTGATGTACTTGTCGCAGCCGATCACCTCCAAGTTACAAGTGTTGTTCAACAGTGTTGTGAGTACTTGCAAACCCAGTTTGTTCAGCTTCGATTTGATGTGCAGAAATATTGTCAGATCTGCACCATTGCAGATCGGCACGGACTGATAGACCTACAAGAAGCTACACAACTCAAGATGGCGTCAATGTACAAGGACGTTTGTGGGAATGAAGAATTCTTGTCCCATATTGACGCTAATCAATATTCTAACCTTCTCAACCGAGATGACCTCAGTGCTCCTTCAGAGACGTTCGTCTTCACATCCGTGATGCAGTGGATCAAACACAAGAAGGAAGAGAGGATGACAGTCGCGGCTAGAGTCATCGGAGCGGTTCGACTGGGGTTGGTGGACATCAAAGAAGTCATCCGAGAACTGAACACAGAGGAGATGCAACGATTTCCAGAGATTCATTTACTTTTGCACGAATCACTTCTGCACACTTGCATGCCATCTGTGAGTTCGAAGTTTGCAGTAGAGAAATCCAAACTGCGTTCCACGAGTCAGGTATGTGAACGAAAATAGTGTGTCAATAAACTTACATTGATTTTTATACGGGGAAAGTTTATCTTAGTTTGACTATAACGAAAAGCGAGCCCACTTGTACATGCACTAACTTAATTAGGTATCTTTGTTCGTAAAGGGAGTTAAAAGCCGTATGGCTCTCAACCTGTCCGATATGAAAGCTACAACAAGGGACAAAAGTGTTAAGACACTTCTGTAAAATGGCCCCTTTTTGCATAGTGAACATACCTATCCCCTTTCCCTGTGTACCCCCACTCCCTCCCCCAAAATCAATGTTGTATTCTAGACCCGCCAAGTCTTTCTTTTACTTCAAACAACATTGATTCGGGGGTGGGGGATTTACGGCGTTTGAATAGAATGAAATAATAAATGAATGAAATTGTTGATAAAAGCACCCGTTTCAGTTAGACAAGTGTGTCAACAACCTCGTTCCCAGGGATTTCGCCTACCCTGGGAGCGAGGTTGGTGTGTCAACTACTTTTGTCCCTGATTGTAGTATAAGACCATGGCCAATTAATTCATGGGCACCCAATGACGATTTCCTCCTAAATACGTTGAAACACTTTTCAGGCTATTCATAGTACTCTTAGATCTCTAGAAATGTATTCTAAGCGGTGCTATAAAATTGGTCATCCTAGGGGACTTTGACTTTTTTCGAAATTACAAGAGCTTCAGTATAATTTTCCCGAAAATTTTAGACGCAATTTATATTTTTACGAATGTGAGAATTTTTCTGATTCCTATCTAAATCACACTTTTGAATCCGAAAATTTTAGGTTTCGTTTTTTACGAAAAACAGCATTACTTGGGGAGTGAAATGAGAAAAATTAATCTTCAGAAAATCTTAGGAATCTTATTGGATAAGTTTCGAAAATTGTACATGAATGGAACGGCCATCTAGAAATTTGTAGCCGCCCTCAAGCAATAGAAAATTCTAGGCAATATTTGCTTCTCCGAACAGATACTTTACAGAAAACAGTCGTTGGATGCCCATGTTAATTAAAAGTAATGTTTCCTATGCTCGAGACAACTTATCCAACAAAGGTTAAAAACACCCCGCGAATCGTAACCAGCTCTCGCCGACACAGTGTAATTATTCGAAATTATAACAAACTTCTTTTGTTCGTTTGGCGAATACCAGCATGTACTGTATTTTCAATATAATATCATAGGTAACGAATTACTCCTTAACTTTGGCGCGAAATTTCAGCGATAATTTGTAATTTCACATGTGAAATTACAAAATTGCAATGGCAACCTTCCGTACGGCGCAGTGTCAAGATGGCGACAAAATTTTAGAATGTCATAAATGAAGATGCCAGGGCATAAAAAGACGCTTTAGAAAACCTAAACACACGAAAGAGCACATCAAGAAGGATTCTAAAAGTATTTTGTCAAAAAATTCTGAACTTAAGCCAAATTTAAGCTCTAAACGTTCGAGAGAGTGGAGTTCTCGATCGATACGACAGTGATACGATCCAGGATAAACATGTCAAAAATCCAAGATTGCTAACGTAATTCGTCACCTATGATATTAATAGGTAATCAAATAGTATACTCGTGAAATTAGGGAATAATTTCACTTACATTTTGTCCAAGTCCTAATAATTTCTCTCGCCTAAAGGCACGGGAAATTATAAGGATTTGGACAAAACGCGCGTGAAATTTCACTCGTCACCATTTGATTACACATACAAATTTAGAGATGAAATAGCCGTGTTAGAAAGAGGTAATCGAAGGGGGTAAAATTGGAATTGGGATTTGCCGTATTTTTAAGATTGGAACTGAATAGGATTTTGGTACATAAACAGATCAAACCCCGTTAAAACGGACACTGAGGGGACCATAGAAAGTGTCCATGTTTAGCCGGTTAAATAGCCTGCAGTGCAGGCGTATTGTGGGTGGGCGAAACCTTGTTCGTGTTCGTAATATTGTTGTAGCCGCCATCTTTGATTTTATGACAGTGGAAGATTGGGGAGAGTAGAAATAGTAACCCGTATGGCGAGCTCGAAGAAAACGCCTGCACTGCAGGCTACCGGTTAAATTTAAAGAAAATGTAAGGGCTTTGTCTCCCCAAGGACAAAGCAAACTGTCCGTATTAAGCGGGTGTCTGTAAAGCGGTGTTTGATCGTTTATGTCAGTATAATTGCAGACGTCTCTTGCTTCCTTTGTCGCTCAAGGAAAACATCTGCACGCAGGCTATACTAGGATTTGACCACGCACCTTTGCCACTGGGAATGGGATTTGAGGCAAACGTCGAATGGGACTCTAGAATTTGAACAAAATTTGGGTTGGAAAAAGGGACTTGAAATAAATATTATCTTGACTTGTCTTGACCTTCAAATGGTCATCTCAAAACGACGAATTAACTAGCAACAATAATTATTGTTGCATTAAAAACCCACACCACTGCTTTTTTTGGCTTTTCGCCAATGCTGGATTGGACGTCCAAAACGGACGCAAGAGAGGATAAATGAGGAGACCCAACTAAGTAATCTTTAACTTTCTCTTCAGCTCCTTGTTGCTGTTTCTCCTGGACAAAATATTGACTACTTTGATTTTGAACATAAAATCTGGAAGCCACTGGGAATGTCAAGGGAAGGAGGCAGACATTCAGAAATATCACATTACTGTGCAGAGACTGTTGGTAATAGTTTGTATGTTGCCGGTGGTCACCCAAATTACACTAACGTAGATTTTATTTCTTGTTATGACTTAGAAAGAAATGTGTGGAAAACACACCCGCACTCTGTTGGAGCAATCAGCAGTATGTGTACTGTAGGAGACTACATGTATACATTTGGTTTTGATTGTCAAAAGCCTCCTCAGCGGTATAGCTTGGCTGAGGGTCAATGGCAGAATTTTACAAATGTCAAGGGACTGAGGGGGATGTACTTCCACAATAGTGGAGCCCCAGCACTTCATTCTGATGTGTTTGTTCTTTATGGAAAAAGATTAAATGAAAAAGGTTATTGGCAAGTGCGAAATGCCTCGCTACATTGTTTTGATCAAGTGAGAAACGTGTGGGAAGAAAAAGCAACAACCTGCCATCCTCATTTTGGGTCCAGTCTTTTTGTAGTGAACGGTAAACTTTACGTAGCTGGGGGTAATGTTAATGCTGATTCCAGCGGTTCACTGTATGGTAACCCTGCACCAGTGGAAGTGTATGATGAAGAAAACAACAAGTGGTCGGTTGTTGACCAAAAACATATTCCAGAAAACAACCTTGGTGCAGTGGAAGTAGATGGGAGGGTTTATTTCATCATCAATAAATTTCCAATTGATAGTGGTATAAGAATCCCACCAGGGGAGGTGTATCCTGTTTCCTTGCACAAGTGGGAAAAACTAGGGAACATATCCGGGACAGCCGCCCTCTGTTATGCACCAATAAAAAAAGAGAGCTTAAAAACAGGGTAACGATCATTTTGCGTTTTAAATAACCGACTTAATGTTCATTTTCACTTCTTACCATCCATCGATTCCTGAGGACAAACCAACCGACTCAATTCAACAAATTTGCAGCCAGAGTCTCTAACAAAGTCTCCGTGTTTCTTTCAGCTACCCCTTAACGTGTTTTGACGGTTTTCCTAGATAACCGTTTTAAAACAATCAATGTGTCTTAATGAGGAATATAAGGAACTGCAGCCATATATAACTTAATTAATGGACCAAAGAGTATTTGTAGATAAGGAAAACACACTGTTTTTTAGTGTCATAAGATATTGTAAATACTTAAATGATAACGAGGACTCTTGGTGTCTGGATGCGCGACGTTAACAAGCTAATTACATTAGAGCAGAGATGCCAACCTCTGGAGACCTAAAATCGGGAGACTCACTACTAATCACTACTAATCTACTAATCACTACCCCCTCCCCCCCCGAAGTTTCAACGACCCCCCTACCCCGGAAAATTGACCCAGCCCCCAATGGGAATGACTTAGGACATTATATGACGTCTTACATGTTGTGCATACTATCAAAGTTTTGATGCTAGAAATAATCGTTGTCACTGACTAAATACGTGCAAGAATGCCCCAGAAACCGTACTGCGAATAAGAAAAATTCAAGTTTTGACCTAAAAATGGGCTAAATCTCAAACTAAGTCTGCTTTATTTAGTATTCAATATTTATAGTGGACGTAAAAAGAGGAAGATTTATGTACCAAAGCGGGAGAGCGTTAGACGAGGTAAAAAAGCGTAAGTCTCCCGCCAAAAGCGGGAGAGTTGGCATCACTGTTAGAGACTTATAGCCGTTCGAGGACGAGGACGACTACATGGCGGAGATTTAGCTTACAAAATGTTTTCGCGTATTCTCAAGAACTAAAAAAACCTCGGAAAGCTTTATTGCTTCCTTTCTTTTCATCAGAAACCTTAGCACGATTATTTTTATTGAAGGAGGTTAAGCCCTCTCCCGATCGAACTGAATGATAAAACGTCTAACATTCGAAAACTTGTTTCCGCCACTAGATATGACATTCTCGCTAAAACCCACTGTAGAATGACGACGATTGTCAGGTAGTATTCCCGCTCAAATGACACAGCTTCAAGTATGCGCACAACTTAGAACTCGTGGTCGTCCTCGTCTTACAATCTAAAGGTCTCTATTATCAACTGGCTTTATTACAAGTACAATTACCTAATAAGTCAATGTTCCAGCACACGATATCATTTGTTTCTATCTTACTTGTATAAGGCCAGTTCTAGAATATTGTGCACCCCTGTGCCATCACGCACTGCCTGACTACTTAAGTAAGGATATTGAACGCATTTAAAAACGTGCACTATCGATCAATTATTTCGCCAGGCCTTTCTTACGATGACAGCCTGTCAATGTTTAACATGGCATCTTTAGAGGACAGACGCATAGATCAATGTGAAAAACTGTTTGATTCTATTGTATTTAATCCAGGCCATAAGTTGCATCATTTTCTCCCTCCCAAGAACTATTGTCATAGTAACCTTAGAAGACAACGCCACTTTGCAAATCCAGTCATACGTACCAAGCGTTTTTCTAGCACATTTCTGCCATCTATGTGCAAGCGTTAGCAGTTTTTTTTGTATAAAGTTTAATTCATCTAGAGTATAATTTTTATAAACTAGAATTCTAGAGTATAATTTTGTAGATTTTTTAGTGCATTTTCATATTTTAAGTTTTGTATCAATTGTATTTGTAAATTCATGCAATTCAGCCTTGGTGGGCTGCCATATGATTTGAATTAAAGCTGTCTACCTATCTACCTACCTACCTACCCGTGTGTTTCATGCATTTGTCGTGAGGACTTCTAAAGTTACTTGAAGAATTTTCTGCCTGGCAATTTTTTTTGTCTTGGAATATGCATTCATTGGTAATCTGGGGTGAATATGAGACTCGAGAAGGAACGGTTGCTAACGGGAACGCTGAACGAGGAGAAATAGAGACGATTGAGAAGATAAGAGCGCATGAAACGACGCATCAAACGAGAGTATTGATAAAGAGAGAAGAAGGTGAAAATTAGTGTTCTTTTGAACTCGCTAAAAACTCAAACCTGATGAGGTTTAAGGAATATCGAATCCGTTCAACAACAAACAACGAAGTTTTACGCAAACTAACTGCAGTAATCCGTTTTTTAAGACATGCAAAAACGACAAACAAAATTCAGATCTGTTTCTCAATAACAAACCATACAAAAACGAAAAACGAAATTCAAATCCGTTTTTCAGAGGAATGCGAAAACGAAAAATGAAAGACGAAGTTCAAATCCGTTTTTCGAAGTAAGGCGAAAACGAAAAACAAAAAGCAAAATTTAATTCTGTTTTTCAGTGTCATGCGAAAACGAAAAATGTAACCGGAACTAGAATTTCATTTTCTCATGCCATCGAAAAACGGTTGGCACTAAGTTACACGCATTCCGAGGATCGAAATCCACCAAAAACCGCACATACACTGACATCAGTTTGACCATCTTGTTTTCTAAGAGGTCAGGTCTGTTGCACTGATTACTGGCAGCAAAAAAGCGTATAAACATGTAACAGTTTGTTTGGTTTTGAACTTTAGAACTCGCCCGCACTGACTCTAGTGCACTAGTGGCCGGGCACGGGTACAAAATGGTGCTTTGTCCACACTCTGGGTACCCAAATTATTTTTCGTCCACTTTGCTCCGTCAGCACTGAGCAGATGCCACTTTTGCAAAAGGAGCGTAGAAAGGAGTTATGGGTATGCGAAGAAGTTGATTGTGGGTAAAACTCTTCGGAACTAACGGAAAACACGTGCACATGGGAACCCGGTGCCCACTTTAGTGCCCGAGTACAAGGTCTCGCGGCATCGGCACCGCGCCCGAATTCTAGCGCGGGTACTTGAAAAAAGGGTGTTTTCACATTAGTGTCCAGCGAGTATCGTACTCGGGCACCAGTGCTCGGGGAAACCAAGTGTGAACGCACCCTTAGAAAAAAAAAAAAGAAGAAAAAAAAATTCTGAGGTCGACTTGTGGAAAGTTTAGTTTTTGAGAAAACAGTTTTGAATCAACATTCAATTATTATATTGAATCGAGGCACACATACACCAACCCACGGCCTGGCCAGTACCTCACGCACGCGCACAGCCATATCACCCGGGCAGTGGCAGCAATGGACAGCTGTTTCGCCCTTATTGGGGCTCATCAGCATGGCATAGCCGCCCAGTCAATGAACAGAGAAAATCACTCGCCTCTGCAGTAAAGGGTCTTTGATACACGGGGATTTTCCCCGTTCATTGACTGGGTGGCTATGTCATGCTGATGAGCCCCAATAAGCGCGAAACAGCTGTCCGTGGCTGCCACTGCCCGGGTGATATGGCTGTGCGCATGCGCGAGGTACTGGCCTGGCCGTGGGTTGGTGTATGTGTGCCCCTTGCTTTAAGTTTATGTTCGAGCCATGAGCCTCGAGAGGGAACCGGAGTGAACTCGCGCCGGCGCAAAAGTTGACCTGGTTAATTACTCCATTCAAAGTGAAGACGAAATCCACAGGGCATAAGTAACGTTTTATAATGGTGTTACATTTTCAATAGAGTTCACGCTAGGGTAAGAATGTCTGTAAAGTAGAGATTTTAAAATGAGAAGATTCGCAGCTTAAAAAGTGGCAGCAAGTGACTAAGTTGGGGTCGCGAAAATCACATTTGCCCAAAAATGACTTAGATGGGGTCTATAATTAGCAACCGGATAATGAGATAGGGGTTCTGAAAGGTTAGCGGCAAATATACAGCCAAAATTGGCACAACTGTCCTCTCCCCTCGAAACTGATTATTTCTTAAGACCAGGATTCAAACTGTGTGCACCTTCGTACTAGCTAGTACTACCCAATGTATCCCAGTAAACCGCAGCCGAACGATTTCATATAAGTTTTCATTGCAATTTATTGACTCTAAAAACTCGTTTTAATTGAGAGCAAAATGTACTAGCACTTAAAACTATGTAATTATTCATTATCATTTGCACTGGAATTTAATTCAGTATCATTATTTAACTAAAAGGTTTAGCTGTAAAGAACATAGTGATAAATTAATACACTTAAAAATTAACCTTTTTTATTCATGCCCTAACCAGGCAAAAATTTCCTTTAGATAATTGTCATTTGAAAACATAGCGTACCCTCACTGTAAGGCTTGCACGTAAACGTGAGCACGTATATGCTATGTTTACTTTGCTCACTTAGGTCATGTAGCAGCTGCTCGAAAGAGAAGTCACCAATGGTGCCTAACCCTGACCCCAAACAATACTAAAACAATTGAAAGAATGACATGTCATTGTTTCTTACAACCGATTACGAGAGACCTTACGAGCAGCTCCTACACTGCTCTCACTTAGCGCAAATCAGTCTCATTGCGTACTCAACTAGTCGTATCAACAAGGAAAAACTGTGTAACGGGTAAATCAGTTTATTAACATTGTTAAGTTTTGCAATCATGAAAAATTGACTGGACTGTTCAGGCCAATATAAAACAGAAAGCACGTCTTCTATCAAGAGAACAAATTTGGTGTCAATCACAGACTTCTTCCGATTTCTTTTTATGATCGGCGATCTGCATTCTCTCTTAGCCGGACTAAAAGAGAAGGACGTTTGCTAAAACTTAAAAAAAACACACCCAAAGAAATGACTAAATTAGTTTACGGTTTCAAGAGGGGATTTCGCTGCAGCCTTCAACTTGTTTAACATCTCTTTGTTTACTGGTAAATAGCACAAGACAGCAGCTTCATGGATGGTTGTCAAATGTTCCCACTCTTGTAAAGAAATTTTGTACACTTCATTTGGTGGAATTCTAATTCCACTGTCAATTGGAAATTTGTTGATGATGAAATAGACCTTTCTTCCTATAAGTTCTACTGCATTAAGGTCGTTTGAAGGAATGTGGTTCTGTTGAACAACGCACCACGAGTTATTTTCCTCATCATAAACTTCGACAGGGGCTGTTTCACCTGAAGCACACATACGCCCGGAGACAAAATCTTTAGAAACAGAAATACTTCCACCGCCCACATAAAGCTTGTTATTATCTACAAAAAGGCTGGATTCAAAGTGAGGAGACAAAGTTGAAGCCTTCTTTTCCCATTCATTTTTCTGTGGGTCAAAACAGTGAACCACGGCCGGCTTTTCACTTGTCTCATCCTCGTCAAAGAGATCACTGTATTCCTCACTGTAATGTCCATGAAGTACATATATTTTGGATTTAAGGCTCACTGCTGTCACAGAAAATAAATTTTCACTATGATGTAGTTTCTTAAAGAAAGGCAATTCGGAAGCACTTTGCCAAAAATTCTGACTTAAACTATATCTCTGAGTCGGTTCTGAGCCGTCACTAAATACATATATATATTCATTGAAAGAACACATACATATTACTTCACTTAGCACGAAATTGCACTGACAACAAGGAAGTGTCTCCCATACATTTCTAATCCTGTTATAGCAATACATATCAACAGAATTATCACCTTTTGCAGCAACATACAAGTTATTACTGACAACTTCAGCACCGATGCATTCAGTTACATCATTCAATTTTGCCATAGAGAAAGGCAACGGTTTCCATGATTTTGTTCCAGCATCAAGATACTTAGTTTCATTGGCATCGGAAACTTTCTCCTCCTCCTCCTGTTGCCTTCGTTTCTCTTCTAAGCCATCAGGAAAAATAGCAACGTGTACCTGAAAGTGGCCAAAGGCAAAACGTATGGAATTTCCAAACACTCAATGAACATTAATTGAAACCCTATTAAGAAAACTGTACCGGTGATTTGATTAGGGATATGTGGCACTAATAACATTATTGTCTGATTATAAAGCCTGACTCAGACCGTAGAGTTGTAAATTTTCACTATTTTGATTAACAAATTTATGAGAACTGGAGGCAATGTCTTGACAAAAAACAAATCGTTGCGGTAGCATCAACGGGGCATAGGCGAAAGGCTGGTCGTCTGCTTCCGGCCTTAGGTGTAACAAAGGCCATTAACTATTCGATTCAACGATGCCTTGCTAGGATCGGGAACTACTGAATGCTGTTTAGCTGTACGGAATTCCTAATAATCTAACTTTGAATAGTCACTGAGGTAATGTAGAAGAAGCAGCTTCCATCAACAGACTTCCAGGTTCTATTAGGCGAGCAGTCTCGACATATTCGTAGCACTGAGATGAGATCCTTACGGTTTATCTTTTGGGCACAACGGTTCAGTAGTTTGATCAGTAAGCGTGAAAATATATCACATGTACTCAGTTATCAAAAAAAGTCATGAACAACAGCTATTTATGAAATAAAGGTTTTCTGCACTTACCGAGGTTATTGAACGTGGTCTTGTTTTCTCAACAGCAAACTTAGAGCTGGGCGAGGGCATGTTGCTATGCAACAGTTTTTCACACATAAGTATTTGAATCTCTGGCACTCGTTGCATCTCCTCTGTGTTCAGTTCTTCAACCACATCCTTGGTGTCCACCAGCCCCAGACGAACGGCTCCGATAACTTTGGCTGCGACTGGCATCCTCTCTTCCTTCTTGTGTTTGATCCACTGCATCACCGATTTGAAGACGAATGTCTCGGAAGGAACACTGAGGTCATCTCAGGCAAATTAGCAAATGCAAGAAGATGGAAATACGTCTGGATGTCAATGTAACCTTGAATGTATTCTTTGTCCAAGAAATCACAACACTGTCGAACAATAATTGACATCTGGAGATGACTGGCAGTTGCCAGAACTTCAAACACGTTTTCCTTGCAAACAAGGACATCTCCACGGTAGATTGAATCCAATATGATGTTAAAACTCAGTGCTGAAATACTTTTGTCTTTGAGCTCGATCACTTCCTGGTTCGATTCCTTCATTCCATTGGTGAACATTGCATGGAAATAATCGCTATTGGCAGCGAGAACATTGCGGTGAGCAGGAAAGATGGACTCATCCACCTTCAGACGAACGTCAATGAAGTCTCCGTTTTCTCTGAACTGGCTTAACTTGAACAAAAGATGCGCCGCCATTTTGTGAAGAGACAAGTATCGAGACAGCGCCCTCTCTCGTTTTATGTAGCCTTGCATGGGTCATTGAGGTGTGATGCAACCATGGTATGAAAAATGACCAATAAAGAGGTAGTTCCTAATTGACCACGCAACATTTCAGTCCACCATATAAGGTCATATTAGAAAGAAGTACTGGTTAAATTATAGTCCCACAGAAGTATTTTGGGTGACTATTAGTTCAGGTAATCACATGATTTTTGTCGTGCAATTTGGAATAAATTAGCACGAGTAAATTTTTTCAAAGACTAACAAAATTGCACGAGCCTTAGGGCAAGTGCAATATGTGGTTTTTGAGAAAAATTTACTCGTGCTTAATTATTCCAAATTGCACGACAAAAATCATGTCATTACTTATTAAAAATATTCATAAAAAAATTGCAAGATAGCTTTAAAATCACTTTGATAGGGAGTCAACACGCGTAAACTACGTACAAAAATAAATTATTCAAATGCTGCAAATACCATCACACGTGCAGTCAAAATAACATTTTGCTCGGTGTTTTTAAAGTTTGCAAGCTGCAGAAACGGGCTGAACAGTTCATGGAATTGTTCAATGTGTTTGAATTAAAGATTCTGGGTTATTACCTCGAGTCTTCCGCTCCTCCAGAGAAATTCTTCTTCCTCCTCTGATACTTGCCGAGCTTTGTTTGGGCGCTTACCACGGCCAGCCAAGCGAAGCTGTTTCGCTTTGTCCTCCAACACCTCTTTGGACGAACTAAATTCGCGGTCACGTACAATGGACAGGGTGCAGCCTTCGTTCCTTAAGTGTCTATCAAGCGATGGCATCATTACTTTAAGGCTTTCCGGTTCATAATCTTCACCTTTTTTATCGTTTGTCTTCAGCGTAGAAATGCTCGAGCAAAGTGTTAAGCTCAGCCGGGTCATAATTTTCTAATTGTTACATGACAAATTTCTGCAATTTGATTGGCTTAGAGCAGTGGTATTTCAGCTTAATTTGAAATACCTACATGTGAAAATTACAAACCGTTTGCGGGTAGTAGTATAAACAAATAATTGCATGATTTATACGTGATATTTGGCATAAATACCACTCGTGATATTTCAAAATTGTCTCAAATTTCACTCACCTAATGGCTCGTGAAATTAATTTATGCCAAATATCACTACAAATCATGTTATTAGTAATTTCTTTATCTACGCACCAATTCTTCGAAACAGAGAGCCAAAAACCAGTGCTTTTCGCAGTGTTTTCGTTTTTAGAGCAGTTTTTCAGCTCCTCTACAGTTGTTTCGGTCGCAAAGGCAAATGTGCTGCAAATGCCAACCATTGCAGTTTTTGCTCGAAACTGGTCCGGAGCGGATCCAAATTTTGCGCCATTTAGATGGCGCATTTGATTGGCTCTCAGTGAGTTCCTTTGTTTATTAGCCAATCAGAATGTCACGTTTGTTACTCTTTTCTGCACTAAATTACCTTTTTTCTGCACCTTGTTACCTAAAAACTGCATTTCTCTTAGCCAATCACAACCGAGAAGTTTTTTCATGTATATTATTAAGCAAAAAAGACATAGGTAGATAAAAGTGAATTGAACACCAAGCCCCATGTTTGTGCCGAGAAAGCTTGCATCGGATACAAGGGATCTCTTGCTCCAAAGCCTACGGTCACCGTCGGTTTTCGTTGACCACATAAAACAGGGTAGGTGTAGGAATAACTGTTGCGGGTCGGTCACGTCTCGGTGAAACCGGCAAAGAATTAAATTATACGTGAGAAGCAAAATCTACGAATATGACCTGCATCCAGTAAAGGGGGTTGGATTCAGTAGCATACCTTCCATCTTTAATTTGGAACTCCTCCTAAAGAATACGCATTACTTGTACACTTTATTCAATGATATTATTATTAATTGTTAATTATAACTATAATTATTATTATTTTATTTTTTTTAATAATGAATATATTTTATTGATAACAATGATAACTATTAAAATCCTATTACAATTAATTCACTTAAAAAAGCTATTTCGTCAAGACACTATTTACAATTCCTCTCGTTTAAAAAAAACACTTAGTTTTGATTAGAAAAAATTCATTTCATTAAAAAGTAAATTATTCGAGTTGAAAACATTTCATTTCAATTAAAACAAGCCGTTTCGATTTAAAAAAAATATTATTTTCAAGGTCGATTGCATTCTTAATAAGAAAAAAACTAAAAAAGAGAGGAAAATAAAATAGCGTTCTAAATGCGTTATTGACGAATGTTTGCCTTTTAAAAGTAAGGAAACAATCAATAGCATACTATTCGCTACAGTCCCTTTCACGCTTGCTGAATAAGAGATGGAGAAATGGAACCGCGTTTGAGTGAGTTGGAAGTGGAAAGGACAGGGAAGGGAGGGAGGGAAAAGAGAAGCGCGGCCGCATAAGGTGCGATACGTGAAAGGGAGAGACAAACAATTCACGGCTGCCAGCAGCCAAAGGATTCTTACGCGAACTGGGCAGAAATGAGATGCGGAGCTCTTATTTATACTCGAGTTGCAAGGGACTGGCTATTCGCGACAGTCCCTTTCACGCTCGCAGAATAAGAGCCGGAGAAATGGAACCGCGCCAAGAAGTTGAACGTCAGATACGTCCCAAAGAACCCAGACACTGCCAAAACTCAAAACCGGGTCCCAAAACTCAAAGAAAAGAAAAACCCAGTTCTCCAGCACTGAAGGTGAAGGGGTGGAACAAAAGTACTCATAAACTCAGAGTACAGAGAAACAACTAGACTGCTGATACTTGCTGAGAGTTGGGCAAGGAGGTCTTTCAGGGAATACCAAAAGGACTGCGTGGTAAAACACGAATAGGCTGCCAACCCTTGAGTGGCAACAAGCAAAGGTTGCAACAAGCAAATAAACTGAAGATAAAGGTCCAAGGTAAAAGCATAGTTAATTGAGTGGAATGGTTATTAAAACCGGTCAGACTCCTTTGTTATATGTTTTTGTGGACCTGAAAGTGCACAACGTTCAAAAGAATTCCTATCATTTTGATTGTATTGACCAATAAAAACGTTGCATTAATTTATTCCGTAACAATTTTCCAACAGAAAACAAAGGATTGTGCACTTTCAGGGTGCTTCCAACATAAACTGCAGCACTGTTGTTTTTATCATTGATGTTTGCCGCTTTTCATAACCAGTCTCCTTTGATAACTATGGTAAAAGGAAAACCTAAGGCGCAGAGAAGACGCGAGAAAAATCCACCCAAGGGCCCAAGGGATGGCAGCCTGAGCGTCAGTAATCCGACTAGGGCATTAGACACCCTTTCGGGCTACCACGGAAGCGCAGGAAGAAAAACATGAAATGACGGCAGAAAAGGCAAGGAACGAATAGCACACATAAACTAAAAGAATAGAAAAACAACTAGGAAAACAAGGGAACAAATACGCTGGGACAAGGGAGTAAACAGGCACAACTGGAGGTCGCGTAGCGAAACACGCGTACCAAATTACAGAAAAATGCAAATGAAAACATTGTCATTCAAAATCTACAGGGGCCGAGGAAATAACACCACTGTAAACAGTGTAAAATAAAGCACGCCGAACAGATTGACCAAATAAAGCACAAATGCAACAAAAGTGATGAACCCACTTAGTTTTCGGGAATCGAGATTAAATTAGTGAGGGAAAGAACGCAGAACACACAATTTGACTGAATAATACAAAGCAAAAAATAAAGCGTGCAAATTCGAGGGGAGCAGGAGAAAAATCACTGCACAAACCGGAGCTTGTTGGGCAAAGCACGCATAACAAAAGCAAACTGAATAAAAAACAAAGAAAAACAAAATGGTGTAAACTTGAGGGGAGCCGAAGGGAAAAGCACTGCATAAGCCTGATGTTGGTGAGGCAAAACACGCAAGGCAAAAAATTACTGAATAAAGCAAAATAAACACAAGCATGCAACAAACTTGACGGGAGCCGAGGGAATAGCACTGCACAAAGCCGGTGTTTGTGAGGCAAAGCACGGAAAACCAAAATTGCTGAATAAAACAAATTAAACAAAAGCGTGCAACAAACTTTACGGGAGCCGGGGGAATGTAACTGACTTTCCGGGAGCCGAAGGAAAAGCACTGCACAAACTCGAAGTTTGTGAGGCAAAGCACGCAAAACAAAAAATTGCTGAATAAAGCAAAATAAAACACAAGCGTGCGACAAACTTTATGGGAGCCGAGGGAATAGCACTGCACAAACCCGGTGTTTGTGAGGCAAAACACGCAAAACATATATTCCTAACAACGAGAGCGTGCAACAAACTACGGGAGCCGAAGGGAAAGCACTAAAACTTTACGAGGGGCCGAGGGAAGGACACTGCACAAACTGCAGATAGCGAGGCAAAGTACGAATAACACTGCTAATGGATAATACAAAAGCAAAACATTAACGTGTAAAAACCTTACGGGAGCTAAGGGAAGGGCAGTAAACAAACTGGGAGTATAGCGCCAGCGAAACACAAGCGAGGGAAATTCAGTCATCCGCACTGTGCTGGCGATTGGGCTGTTTGAAGCAGAGCTGGAGCTTGTGTAACATAGGCCGGGGCGGGGACGGTTCGTCGGCCATCTTAATAAAACAAGAATCGGTTAACAGAGCGAATGGATTCTTACGCGAACTGGGCAGAAATGAGAAGCGGAGCTCTTATTTATACTCGCGTTGCAAGGGACTGGCACGAATAGTTCGATTGAATGGCTCCTTCAACAACTTCGACGTCAATATTAACATTCTTAATGTCACATGGCACTCTTCTTGTCCTAGAGCCTCTAAGACAAACCAACGCAGATCTTAAGAGTGCGAATGAGGTTCTGGTTCTGATCCATGAGATGGTTTTGGCATACTGCTCCCCTCTTTTGATGGCAATCAGCTGTGCTAAACGGCTATGATACATCAAGCACTCCTTTCCCATTCCGCCAGTTGTGGTGAAGACCAAAGGTGTAAATGTTCCATGCTCGATGTCCAGAACTCTCCTTGAGTAGAGA